TGCTGGGGCCAGCGTGACCGCTGAAAATTTTCAAAAAGTATCACAAAAAGTATCATTTTTTAAAAAAAGTAGCACATAACTTCTGAAAAAGTGTCACAAAAAGTGGCACACTTTTTTTACTTTTTATTTAATAAAAAACTATATAAAACATTACAAATAATTCATTTATGTGTATTTTAATATACAGTAAAATGAAAAAAAAAACTAAATAAAATCACATATTCTTACAATATATAAGCGGTATATACTATTGGTCTTTTCCTGTACTGCAAGAATCTACTAGATTTTACTATTTTTTTCGATATCATATAAGGAAAATTTGTTATCGTAGTAAAAAGTAGTAGATTCTTGCAGTAAGGGAACAGACCATATATTGTTATTGAATAACATTTATTTTTTAATTACTTACAGCCTGTTTTTGTAAAATTCCAAACGAACGAATTCGAGTCACTTACGACCAAACCTTTATTTATGTTTATAAAGGTTTTCTGATTCAAAACAAAAATAAATGACATATTTTTCAAAACCAAGGAGTTTGGTCGTAAGTCACTCGAATTCGTTCGTTTGGAATTTTACAAAAACAGGCTGTAAGTAATTAAAAAATAAATGTTATTCAACAAATAGCAATCGAAAATTCTACAAACCGAAACATACATGGTCTGTTCCCGTACTGCAACAATCTACTACTTTTTACTACGATAACGTATTTTCCTTTATGTTATCGAAGAAAATAGTAAAATCTAGTAGATTCTTGCAGTACGGGAACAGACCAACACACAAATTCGAATGCGACCTAACTGAACCCTAGTTAAAAATTGCTCCGTCTGTTAAAAAACGCAACCTAGTTAAAAATCGCTCCGTCTGATACAATATTACAAAACAAATCATTATGTTTTATGAAAAATCGCTTAAATTTATGTACTTTTTTAAAAAAAGTGGCACAAAGTAACAAAAAGTTTCACAAAAATTCAAAAAGTGACACATTTTGTATCAAAATGAAAAAGTATCACAAAAGTAGCAAAGGCGAAAAAAAGTGGCAAAATTGCCACTTTAGTGGCACAACGGTCACGCTGGCTGGGGCAAACACAATGAGAGTGCGAGAATAATCTATCAAGAAAGAGAGAGAACGACCCAGCACAGGTAAAATCAAAATGGGAGAGCCAAACAACGAAATGAAGAAAAAAAAGAGTTTTGAATATGCATGCACACAAACCAGTCATCACAGTTAGCGACGCCAAATACGTTGAGCCTAATGCAGACTCTTTCACATTATTATTCTTTTAACTATATGTATATATACTTACATATAGAGCTGGCTATATATATATCTACGTACATATATAGAAAAATGTATATACACATAAGGTGTATAGAGCTTACTCCCATTTAGCAACAACAATAAAGGCCAGCCAACAAGCAGCAGTGAGAATACACCAAAAATAAACAACAAAAGCGTCATAATGAAGCTTTTGTGTTTTTGCTTGCTTAGCTGGTTGGTTGGTTGATTCGCTGCCGAGAACATTTTCATTCATTCATTCAAGAAAATTGAAGTGAGCAAATTTTTTGTTTCCAAAATACACGAATCAACGATCCAGTCAAAAAAACCCCCCAATTTGTTCGCCGCTCGCCCCATCATTATCCACAAATAACAATCGTCGTGCGGCGGCATTTGTTATACCCACTCACCCACAACTAAACAACCTTCCGCTCCCTCTCTTTCTCTCACACACACCTCCTCCACAAAACATTGGATATCCATCAACAATTTTTCGCTTACGTCTTCTACACTAGACAGTTCGTATACTTGGTACTCCCCTTTGGCGCCCGCCCCCTCTCTTTAATCAACCAACCACACACAACACAAAAACCACACATTCTAAAAACATTATGGTTTTTTTATTTTTTGCTTCCATTTGTCGTTCGTTTATTTTTTTTTCATTTTTCCTTTTTTCCAGAAGAAAATTTTTACATATGTATATCAACACAATAAGTTTTCCATTAAAATTAATAGTCAATCCATTTTTTATTTTACTAAGCTCTACACTTGGACGACGTAAAAAAAATCTGTACGATTAATTTTTTTCACGCAACGCGCACACAAACACATTCACTTTTTTTTGTACATTCTTCTATATATGTAAGATGAGAAATATAATAAAAAAAAAAATAAACGACATACTCTCATACCACCACAAAACACTTCATTTTTTCTTCTTCTTAGTAAAGGATTTTCAATTGGATTTCTTGTAGGTAGTAGCTTTTTTCCATCATTCCTTTTTTTCTTATTTTTCTTCCTTTATACACACACTATATAAAATTATATGTTTTATATATTTTTTCTTTCTTTTCGCTTGTTTTATTCGTAAGTATTTAACAGATTTTTATTTGTGTAATTCGTATTGTATTTTTCATTACAAAAATTCGTTTTTTTTTTGATTTTCTTTAAATTGTTTTACACTACACACACTGGATATTTTTTCTTATTGTTTGCTTTTTTTTTGTTGTATTCTTTTTCTTTTACAAGTTCCCGTTGAAAAGCATTCAATCCGATTCGACAACCTTCCTCGAGAAGATTTGTTTCAATAATGAACACAGAAAAAACATGTGTGAGATATATTTGTGTGTGTGTGCACTCATGTGTCAATTTGTGAGAAAATCAAAACAATGCTTCTTCTTTTTGGAAGGTATAGCAATTAAAGAGATCGCATTCCCTTGGGAATGATAGCACAAAGAAAAATTAATTCATTTGTTAATGACATAAAATTATTTTTTATTTAACTAGTTGTTGTTATTTTAAAACAGACACTTAATATATAATATAAAATATATATTTGCAATATTTTTTCTTCTAGTTCATATGTTACCAACTGTAGAGAAAGGGATATGCCCATTGAATTGATATCAAATAGTCCAGTGTAGTGTTAGGGATCTATAATTCAAATAACGATAATGTCAAATTAAGACGTTTTATTGCAAAATATTAATTGAAAGGAGCTAACAAAACATTATTTGACTAAAATTAACTAAAGTAATGCAAAACATTTTCTAAAAGTACGAAAATGATAAATGTGCAAACATAAAAATGGTGGCAGCAGGATATATTGTACATTTTTAAAAAAATATATAAAATACTAGAAACAATAACAATTGAATTACCTTCCTTTACTATATTTCTTAATAACACATATTTATTCCAATTAGAATTATGAAAATAATTAATTATGAAATCAATGAAATGTGTATGTATATGTAACTAATATCAGCTGACTGGCAACTTTATATCATTTTATTACTAGTGTAAACAATTGAAATTTAGTAATTCGATTTACAAATGTCCGAGAAATAATATGTTTATGAGCTGTACGAAAAACAATTTGGAAATAATTAATGGCCTAATTTTTTTGGTTCCATAAAGCGGATTCACATATAATATTTGATAAGCGGATTCAAATAAATCCTCATAAAGTAGGTTTATTTTTAACCCAGTGGGTTTCAATGAATGCAATTTTTTGCATAGAAAAATAACTTCTGAAAAAAAATTTGCAACTGTTTTCACATTTTGCTTCTTTTTATATTTAACGTTTGCCAAATGCAAAAATGAAAATCAACAGCAAATAAAAAGTATTTACAAAATGTTTGTGTTTTTAAGTGATTTTTTTCACAGCATTGCAAAAATTGAAATTGTTATCATTCTTCTTTTCAATTTCATATTGCAATCAAATATTTTTTGGCACAAATTAATAATTTTGTATATATGTATGCTAACAAACATCAGCTGATCGACATTTAGATCATAATTAAAGTTATGTATAAACAATTTGGATGCATTTTCGTTAATCGAGTCTATTTAAAATCGATGGGACGTTTAGATATACAAAGTCCACTCGATCCCAAATGTCAGTTCCTTTGGGTATACGTCAAATAAAATCCAGTGGATTTGTGCACTAGATTAACGTGACGTATACGCAATGGAATTGACGTTTGAGATCGAGTGGATTTAGTAGTCTAAACGTAGTCTTATAGCGTTCTAAATGAATCATATGATCGCTTTTTTTCTGTGAGTGCTTGTTGTGCAGTTCCAGAACACAAGTTTAATACGATAACAAATTATCCTTTATAATATCAAAATAAATAGTAGATTCTTGCGGTTCTGGAAAACTTTTGTCAGCATTAATTCTTTAGTTATTGGCTAAAATTGTAAACCGTTTTAGGGGTAAGTTTTTAGCAAAAATTGTTAAAATAGCGTTATGCTATAAGTTCCGGAACACAACTACTCTACTCAAAAAGTTGTACAAATTTTTAATTGTGTTTAAAAAAAGATTTTGAAGCAAGTTCTGAAATACAGCAAAAATAAATATGCCACCATTTATCTCAACAATTTTTTTTTCGAATACCAAAATAACTCCTCTAATTGAAAACTCTTTCTCCTTTCTCCGTACTCTATAAAACTTCACAAAAAAATCAATTTGCTAGAGAACAATTTTGTTGTTTTTTGTTCAAAGCAGCTGATGATACAAGAAAATTTTTACTGAGTAAATTTTTCCTTGTAAGAATTTGCAAATACTCAGTAACACAACTGTCAAATCTGCCCTCTCAATTCACTCTTGGTCTGTTCCCGTACTGCAAGAATCTACTACTTTTTACTACGATAACGAATTTTCCTTTATGATATCGAAGAAAATAGTAAAATCTAGTAGATTCTTGCAGTACGGGAACAGGCCATCTATTTTTCAGGACTTTTAGGTAAACGAACAACAATTTGTAAGTCCGCTTTTCCACAGGCAGATTTTTATTTGGCAATTTTTTTGTTTTCTCTTTTGAAATTTTCGCTTGCTTTTCCACTAACAATAATTTGTACAAATTATTGAGTAAACGAACGAACATACATTTAACCAGATTTCGTTAACCCAGTGGGTTTCAATTGTCACTTCCTTTGCATATATGTCAAAAAAATCCACAATAAAGATCGGTTAACCCGAAATACAAAACAAACAAACAAAATGATGGAGTGGAAAAAAATATCCGGCCTCTTGTGTATATTTGGTTTTGTGCGAGAGCTTAGACCTTCGGAGCCATATATTACAGAATTTTTGGCTGGACCATGGCGTAATGTTACCGAGGATGAGGTGAGTTAATTGAATTAATTAGGAATGTTGAGAAATTGAATTTTTTGTAAATTCGAATTTTTTTCACTAAAGAAAAATCGTAAGATTTATAAATAGTTAAAAAAATAATAAAATGTACACACATTATTTTCTTGTTTGTTTAAAAATTATAACAAAACAGCTGATTAAATATGAGCTGATGTTACTGGGTAAACTTTCCTTGCATTATTTTCTTGTTGGTTTACAAATTATAACAAAACAGTTGATTTAATATGAGCTGAGCCAAGTGACAAATTTTCTCTCAATGCGCTCTCTTTTCCTGGACTTTTGCGTTAACGAACAACATCCAGTAACAATCTACAAATTATTTAATTTTATTTTGTCTCATTTGCCTTTATCCACCATTCTTTTCTGTCTCTTGCTGACAACCTTAAAACCCCATTTTTTTAATTTTCACATATCTTTTTTTAGAATTCCTTAACTCGATCGATTTAAAAATCAATCATCAATCGATAAGTCTAAAATCGACCTACACATCCCTACTATTATCAGCTGATTTGCACATATCTCCCCATCTTTTATGCATTGCACTCATTCGTAAACACTCTAGTAAAACAGTAAATTTATTTTGTGTCCCTTCTTTATCCATCATTCTCTACTGTCTCCCGCATTCATATCATTTGGAACGTCATTCTTAAGAGTCGGTCGGTCAATCGGTTCACATGTCGTAACAAAAATTTTGATTTATTATTGCAATACGTTTTCCAATAAGACTGATTGATTTGATTTTTTTCTTCGTTTTCCAATTAGAAAGTAATTAATTGAATTTATTTGATTGAATTGTGTGCAGAATTATTATTAAAAAGAACAATTAATGACATTGCCATATATGACATTCCATTGGCGCTAACAAGTTAACAACACACACACACGCGTACATATCAACAACAGCGGCAATGTGACATTGAAATTAAAGGAGGAGAACGTATGACCAATGAACGCATGATATCTGGCTGATTGTCTGCGGCTGATGAAGATGATAGATAATAAGTTAATAAACGTGTGATAAGCAAAAGTAAAGAAAATTCCACAGCGGGGGCAAGATGACAAGATTAACAATAACAACAACAACAATAAGAAATATACACATCACATGCACGTCAAATTTATTGAAGAGTACATATAACGTGAATTCATTTTTTGGTTTTGTTTATTAAACAAAAAGTTAAGAATACTATAATTTTAGTATATATCTATATATACGAGTCGTCTGATACCAAGCGATTTATGACCAGCCATTTATAAACAACGACAATCAGAACAATAAACGATTAGATAAGTAACCAAGCTAAAGAGTTTGCAAACCTGTGCGAAGTAGAAGAAGAAGAACAAGGAATTGTTATTGTTGCTAATTCGCGCTGCTGATATCTCCAACGTCCAATGGTGGTGTTATTAAGGCCGCTACACTATTTGGTCTTAGGAGAAAACTGATTATAGTTGTGTGACAAATGATTCCCGCCATCGCTGCTGTTGCTTTTAGCCTACACCAAATTGTATTAGGTTCGGGAAGGTGATAACAAGAAACTACTTACCAGAATAAAAAAAACATTAAACATTTCACATTTCACATTAACTTGCTAAACACCAAACCCCAACCAAGTGAAGAAGCAGTGTCAAGTGTTGCTGCATTAGAAGATTAGTTTTCAGTTCTTTTGTGGCAACCATTGCCACCACTTGCCTTGTCAGGTCGTCGTCGTATTGGCCGTTATGAAATTCATTTCAATTTTTCTTTTTGTTTGTAATCACCAATTAAGTTGAAAAAAATAGAGCGAATAGCAAGAGAGACCTCCGAACAAATCCATCCCTCCGGCATCATTTAGTCTTCAATAAAACTGATTGACAAACAACGAATCAACACAACAAGATCGCACAAAAACCGAAAAACAAACAAACCAAACAAAATGTTGGAGTGGAAAAAAATATCCGGCCTCTTGTGTATATTTGGTTTTGTGCGAGAGCTTAGACCCTCGGAACCATATATTACGGAATTTTTGGCTGGACCATGGCGTAATGTTACCGAGGATGAGGTGAGTTCATGGAATTATTTAGGAATGTTAAGAATATGTCTAGATGTGGATTTTTCTATGAAAACCTTTCTCTACCCACAACAAAATATGAATGCAATATCCTACAGCCACTTCGGAAATGTACCGAGGGGATAATCAAAAATTTGACGTACATATATTGTAATACGGGCTTAACCCTTTTTAGGACCGCCTTGCGGATCGTTTTGAAATTTTGACCACATGCAGTCCTTGGCTTCCTAATTACAACGGTATACTTTTTTCTTGTGGAAATCGGTATTTCCGAGAAACATGGGTCTTCAAAGTTCCGTCGGACCCTTGTATTTTTTCACGATTTTTAAAATTTACACAGGTAATATGGGTATCAGGGGTCCTGATTACAACGTTTTACTTTTTTTCTTGTGGAAATCGGCATTTCCGGGGATATGGGCCTCCATTGGGACCCTTGTATTTTTTTCACGACTTTTAAAATTTACACAGGCAATATGGGTATCAATTTAAAGCGTTTGAAATCCTGATTTCACAAACACTATTGAAATTAAAAAGAAGATGCCATCACATAGCCGGATTTGCCACCTGTCCATAGGAGATTTAAGACTTTCCCGGTAGCATAATCGTAGTTACTATCTGTCCATAGGAGAAAGTCTTAAATCACCGGCCGAAGGCCGAATACTCACAAACACCCATATTGTTTTACTGAATTTAAGAAAGGTCCCGCAGAAATTTGGAGATCCATATCTCAGAAAGTATGGACTTATTTGCAAATAATAATTTATTTTTGTAAAAAGGGCTTCAAACGCTTTAAATTGATACATATTTATTTATTAAATTCATTCCTTAATACTAAAGCCTCCAAGGCCAATAAATAGTATTAATATAACACATCATTCTAAGTAGAAAACTTATATCTAAATACAAAATACTTAAAAATATATTCAATTATAATTTAAAAATCATGAGAAAATACAAGGGTCCTTATGGAGCTTTGACGGCCCATATCTCCGAAAATAACGTTTTCGGCAAGAAAGAACCATTGTAATCAGGGCCCAAGGACTATATCTGGTAAAATTTTAAAAACAATCCGCGAGGTGGCCATAACTAGACTTGTTGAATCAAATTTAATGACATATGATTTTTCATATCTGATAGATGTTGCAGGATATATTGTAAATATAGATATAAATGCAACTCGATGATTAGAAGGGAAAGCTGAAGGCATTTTATGAAGAAGATTTAAGGTATTGATGGTCATGGTCTTTGGATGAAAAGTATTTAAGAGTGTGGTTTTTGTGGTAATGATGAGGTGGCATACGATTGTGATATTGCGGAATTGAATGCCCACTTTGCCAGTAGGTGTCATCCTATTAGTACTGATGAAGTTGATTTTAATGTTTTTTCGGGCTTTGACAGTTAATTTTCTTTTCATTGTGTCACTAAAGAATATATTTGAGGACTATTTCAACTATTTGCCTGTTCTTTCGAAGATTTGTGAGCATTAAATCAAGGACCAAAAACTTTTGCAGACCAGGAATTTTCTTTTTGATAATCAGCATGCTTTTCGTAAATCTCTACTTTACTTCTCAAATATCGTATGGAGTGGTTTTTGTGGTCCATATTGAAAAACTTTCGACATAACCTAACCTAATAATTTCGCACCCATGGACGTGTGATAACAAAACATTTTTTGTAAAATTCTTTGTTCCTAAGCGAACCCAAAACAAAAATATTAATAATTTAAAATCAGACACCTTATTTCTTGGAATTGACATATCTAACTGCATGCTTATTGTTATTTATATACAATCAAAAAGTCTATATTTGATTAGCGATCTTTAATTATAATACACATGCAATTATTTGTACCTATCATTATTAACAATATTTAAAGTTATCTCTAAAACACTTCTCCTCTATATAAAGATAATTTAGAAATTGTTTATTGTTGTCATATAGTCTGTCATATACATACGTTTTTTATGACATTATCAGATTGAAAGTGTTATTGAAAAGAAAGGAAAGCAAACGAGTTAAATATGAAATTTCCCCTAGGACTGTCTCAATAATTTATAATTAGAAATTGGCAAACATTTTCCAGTTATTTTCAAGATAGATATTATTATAGGAATTTTCGGTTGGCATTTTCTATCCTAACCTGACCTCAAAGTAAAAAAAAAGAACTTTAAGAAAATATTTTATTATGATCAGCAGCATATTATTGAGGATGTATTCATTTATTTATTTTTTCATTTATAATTCATCGAAATAATTTTTTCCGATCCTATAAAGTATTTAAGTTCTCGTCCAGGAGAATTTTTTTTTTTTCGATTGTATAAGTTTTTTATTTTTTCAAATATTGTTTTCAATGCAAAAAATTAAAAAAAATATATATATATATATATTTTCAAGTACTCAGCAAGGCGTGGATTTTTTAAAAATATTTTTCAAAGGCGTGGATTTAAAGAAAAAAAATTAAGACGTGATTTTTTTTTAAATTTTTTTCAAGAACGTGGTTTTTTTAAAAATATATTTTCAAGGGCTTGGATTTTTTAAAAATATTTCTTCAAGGGAGTGAATTTTTTAAAAATAATTTTTCAAGGGTGTGGATTTTTTAAAAATATTTTTTCAAGGGCGTGGATAAAAAAATTTTCAAGGACGTGGATTTTAAAAATATTTTTTAAGGGCGTGGATATTTTAAAAATATGTTTTCAAGGACGTAGATTTTTAAAAATATTTTTTTAAGGGCGTGGATTTTTTAAAAATATTTTTTTAAGTGAGTGAATTTTTTAAAATTATTTTTCAAGGTCGTGAATTTTTTAAAAAATATTTTTTTTTCAAGGGCTTGGATTTTTTAAAAATATTTTTTTAATGGGATTGGATTTTTTAAAAATATTTTTTGAAGGGCCACACTACAGGCGTTGAATTTTTAAAAATATTTTTTTGAAGGCGTGGATTTTTTAAACATATTTTTTTCTAGGCGTGGATTTTTTAAAATATTTTTTCAAGGCTTGGATTTTTTAAAAATATTTTTTTAATGGGATTGGATTTTTTAAAAATATTTTTTGAAGGGAGTGGATGTTTTAAAAATATATTTTAAGGGCTTGGATTTTTTTAAAATATTATTTCAGGGGAGTGAAGGTTTTTAAAATATTTTAAGGGGTTTGAAGTTTTTAAAAATGTTTTTTCAAGGAAGTGAATTTAAAAAAAAATCAAGGGCGTGGATTTTTTAAAATCAGTTTATAGTTGTCGATTTTATTCGCATTATTTACTAATTTTGTATTATCTATATTTACCATTTCGAATATTTTTTATAGCCTAACCTCAAAATGAATTTTTTTTTAGAAAACATTTACATTTAAGAGGGCGATTGGGTCTTATTTGTCGATTTTATTCATATTATATACCAATTTTCTCAATTTTTATTACATATTTTACCATGTCGAATATTTTTTATAACCCAACATCAAAATAAAAAATACAAATTATTTGAAAAAGGTATATTTATTTTGAAAATGTTATTATAACCTACTATAATATAAATAATGTTGACAAATTCTATCAAATTTTGTGATGTCTTTGATATTTAGAAAAATTTACTATAACCTAACCTCAAAAGTAAAAAAAAAATAAATAAAAAATGTTTAAAGCATATTTACATTTATATTCATAATTTGCTTATAGTTCACGACCTTATTCGTATTATTTACCAATTTTCTTAATTTGTATTATATATTTTCCCATTTCGAATATTTTTTAAAGCCTAACCTCAAAATGAAAAATAAAAATTATTTGGAAAATTTATATTTTTTAGAAAATATACATTTTTATATTTTTAAATTTAGTTATAATAGATTGTATTCTAAATAATGCTGTTTAATTCTATCAAAGTTTGTGATATTTTTTGCTAATTAGTAAAGTTTTCTATAATCTAACCTCAAAGTTAAATAAATACTTTTTAAAAAATAAAAATGTAAACATTTTAATTGATTGTAGTTTTCGACCTTGCTCTTATTATTGACTCATTTTTTCTTTTAATTTATTATATATTATGTCATTTAGATTATTAACTTATAACCTATCCTCAAAATCAAAATTATAGGATTATTTTTTTTATTTGCTTGCCTTTTTATAAATAAATATTCTATTAAAGATATTCATAAAGATTTTCCGTTTCTTATCTCTTTCCAGTTAAATCGTCAAGTATATCCTGTCGGCACATATTCGTACTTAGCACAATTAATTGTGGTGTTCCTTATAACCGATTTTTTACTGTAAGTGAATATATAACCTCCCGCCTGCCCCCTCACCCCAAAAAAATAATTAAAATGATTTATTTTTCTCTCCACTAGATACAAACCCTTAATTATCACAATCGGTGTTACCGGCATAATAGTATGGAGTATGCTATTATGGACAACCTCACTGGAGGCTCTTATGACCTTAGAATTCTTTTATGGTACTTATATGGCTGCCGAGGTGGCCTATTATACATATATTTATGCAAAAGTAGATAAGAAATATTATCCACGAGTGACATCCCATACCAGAGCGGCAATATTTGCCGGTAAACTGGTGGCCAGTATCTTGGCCCAAGTTCTGTTATATTTTGAACTAATGGACTATCGAGATCTCAATTATATTACTTTGGGAGGTGAGTGTGTGTTATTGAATTGTTAATCCAATATTTTAAATAAAAATGTTTTGTTTTTTTATTTCCAGCACAAATTGTAGCAACATTATGGGCTTTTACCCTACCCAAAGTCGACCAGAGTTTATATTTTCATCGTAAAATCAATAACAATGAAGTACCTGCTTTGAAATCTTCCGATTCGCTGGAAAGGAATTCCTTTGATGATGCAAAATCCCAAACGAGCGATACCACCAATGATAAATTTCAATTTAATTCTGCAACAAACATTGTCACAAAAACACCGATTGGTGTCAAACTGTTGTGGAAACATTTTTCTAGTGCTTATACCAATTTAAAGGTGGTACAATGGTCTATATGGTATGCTGTGGGTCTATGTGGTTATTTACAAGTGACCTCATATGTCCAGCTAATGTGGAAGGATATTGAACCAAACCCAGATGTAAGTAAATCAGACTACAAACCGAGTCGTCCGACAATAAATTACTGGCGAATTTGAGCAATCCTTTTAATGTGATTTTCGGTTGTTTGTAACAAACAGTTGCTTACATTCCATTCCTTCAAAAGAAATGTATCAGATCAACCACCTATCAAAACTAAAATTGAAAAAAACCGTTCCTTATCTTTTTAGATTGCCTGGAATGGTGCTGTTGATGCAATTTTTACCGCCTTGGCTGCGCTATTTGCCCTCTTTGCTGGTTATATACACGCTGGCCGTTTACAATCACACACAAGTCTGCTCGTTTTGGCCGGCCTATCGGCACTGGAAGGTGGTACAATTCTTATGATTTGTTGGTCACAAAATATCTATGTATCATACGCGGGTTATATTCTATTTGGTGGCATATATGGTTTCATTATAACTGTGGCGGGGTATGTATACCATATGCATTTCAAAAATGCTCGTTATTAATTATTTTCCAAACTCTCTTTACAGTGCCGAAGTTGCCCGCTATCTGGAAGAAGATAGTTTTGGTTTAGTATTCGGCATCAATACAATGTTGGCATTAATATTCCAAACCATATTGACACTGGTCGTTATATCGGACAGCGGATTTTCACTTAGTACAAAAGGACAATTTACAGTATATGCGTTTTATTTTATAGCTGTTGGTATAGTTTATTTTATAGCTGTTATTAGTGAATATTTATATAAGAAATTTAGACGAAATGTTGATTAGAATTTTGTTGTTGCTGTAGTGAATAAGAAGAACAAAAAATAATATTTTGAAACGAATTAAAATTAAAAAGACATTGAATTTATGATAACAAGAATTATTATTCAATGATGAAATAAAAAATAATATGATTTTAATTAAATATAGACATTTTAAGATAATGTATGGGACTTCAAGGATTCATTTCGGATGTTTGCAAAATGGACAAAACGATAAAGGTTGCAAAATATATCTCATTTTCAAAGCTCTATAGCAAAATGAATTTTTTTCACAGTAAATTCCTGTATACTTTCCTGCTGTACAGTAAAAAAAGTCAAACGGTAGAAGTTAGTCTTATTTAAGAATTTTATGATGGCAACCCTTTGAATTTGGAACCCATCTGTCAATTTTAAATAATATGAAAAATAAATTCCAAATTTTATGTATGTCGATTGGCATATTTTCAATAAATCAAAGAAAATATATTTCCTAAAGCTGAACATTGTTCTCAAGATTTAACTATGGTTGTTACATCATATATTTCAATTTAATTTCAATTTCAATTTATTTCATAAATTTAAATTATTTAGCAAAGGCCATTGAATAAAAGCGCACATTTCAAAAAACAACAAAATATAAACTACTCCAAAAGCTTAGAACTAACAGTGTATTAGCTTAATGTTATCTTAACGACTATTTATGAGTTTTAGAGGCAATGAACTTCAAAATATTTATAAATTTAAATTATTGCACTGAACACATCATATGCGCACATTTCGAAGGAAGGATCCATGTTAATTTTATTTCAAATTATTATTATTAATTATTTTTTTAAAAAGTGTTTCCCTTTGTTTTATATTTTAACAGCTATTTATTTTTTAAATTCTCAATATTTCATATGGTAGCACTCTAATTTAGTAAACAAATAGAATAGTTTCTAAATCCATGTTTAAAAAAAAATCTCTAATTTAATTCCCATTTAAATCGCATATACACCCTTTATAACGTGTAAAGGCAGCTTAAGTTTGCATGAAATGGTCACCATCCACTTCATTACAACACTATTAACTAGCTGTAAAATATGAGAGCTTCTTTTAATAACACCAAAACAACAATAAAAAGGGGGTTGCTTTTCTCCCCCATTGATTTCCGTTAATAATTCAACAGCTGTTCAAACGACGCCTTGCCACACAACAAAAATTGCATACAATAAGCAGGGCATTCATATGGTAACACTATAATAAAATTTAGTAAACAAATAGATTATTTCCCAACCCAGGTCGTCTCAAAAATCCTTTGCGAACAACAAAAAATAATAAAAAAAAAATCCTTTACGTGTTCTATAAATAATAAAATACAATTATTTTCAATAAAATTTATTAAAAATGCGTTTACGTATCGGTCGTTTACGTTATCATTATGTGAAATTTATAATATTGGCAATGGTTTGTGGAGCCGGTCTCTATTATTATTTTGCAAAAAGCGCATTGGACTTGGATAAACGTTCTCAAATGTAAGTATGTACATAAATGCAGATGGTGTGTTTGTGTGTGTGTATGTGCATGCATATTATTTGTGTATTTTGTGGCTATATGTTTTATTTATTTCATTCAATTGATTATTGTCCGGCTGTAGTAAGGAAAATTAAATTTTATTAGTGACAGAAGAAAATGACGTATTTTTTGTATCTGCTTTTAGTTGTTGTTTGTTTATCTTTGCCACAGAGGGATACTTAAGAATGTATATATGTATGTATGTAGGTAAATAAAATTTGCATTATATCTAGAAGGTATTTTCATTGTTGTTGTTTTGTTTTTAAGAATTAACAAAGCCTTATGGTGCGTATGGAATGCATAATGGTCGTATGTTTGCTTTTCTTATGAAATCTAAAATGAAGGGAAATAAACAAAATTGTTGTTAAATTAAAATAATATGCTTAATTAAATGAATCCGTTTAATTAATAAATTAGCTGTCATATCAACAATTAATTTAGCATGAAATGTGTCAACTGAAATTTCCGAAGAAGAGATGATAACCCATACATATAACCAAACATACATTGTTTGAGATAAATTTATTTATTTTTGTATTCATACTGGAAATCGAAAAGAAGAATGTATTAATTATTCAAATACCAGTATTTATTTTTGCCCATTTCTATTTAATATATCCAATGTTATTCGAATTTTCATTATTGCATTGTTCGCGGGACCTTATCACAATCTAGGTACAGTATAAACTTGATAATCCGAACCTCGACAATCCGGATTATTCGGTAATCCGGACTGCATTTCACAACCCATTGCGTATCCTATAATCCGGATTGATTGACCTATTTGACTCAAAAATCCGGATTGTAAAGATACGTTACTTTTTATTTTAATAAAAAAAATCGTTGCAAATTTAATTGAAAATGGTACCTATTATATTCAAAGTTCATATTTTTGAAATGAATAAATTTCATTTTTAATAAAATCATAAAAATAATTAAATTATCACCAAATTAATATAAATTTAAACCAAATAATAAAACTCGATAATCCGGAAATCTCGGTAATCCGGATTGGGGTCTGCAATCAATTATCCGGATTAGCGAGTTTTTACTGTATATAGTTTCTATTGTATGTGAAGGTTTTCAAAGAATAATTTAATTATATTTAATTTATAGTTGAGTACATTAATAGACTGATAAAAACTACATATAAAAAAATCCCCTACCCAATGAAATGAAACTTGAAACAAATCGAACACACAATTGCGGTTATTGCGTTTTTTTTGTTTACAAAGTCATACATGTTTGCTTTTAATTATTAATTTTACACGATATAGGTAAAGTATACCAGTAGTCGGAAATTTAATGATTCGGCCATTTTTGCCATTTCGTATGCATCATACCTTTATCGCTACGCATCCTTCATTTATTTTTACGATATTTTTTCACCATTTTGGGTATATTCTACATATCGCTCATTTGCTGCAAGACAGGCAGAACACATAAAGGTTATTTTCGAGTTAATGATACACGATTGTTCGGTATAATAGACCTTATGTTGTGTAAAAAATGCATATGAATATCTCTTAAACACTCTGATTGAGAAACTATAGAATTTCCTCTTTTCTATGTAATGTCTGTGTAAATTGAAAACTTAAAACGCATTTTCTGTAAAATCGTCTTTTTATAACCTCCCCCATAGTATGCAGGGTATATTAATTTTGTTTTTTTGATCAGCGTAAAATTCTATGATGATATAGCCATGTCCGTTGTAATCACTAGCCTCTAAACGAGTTGAGATAGATCGCCAATATTTTTCACAGAGTCGTCTTTTTTTGTTGGGGGTTTTTGAACGCGTATTTCAACCGAATTTGCTGATGTTTGATACATTGGGTTCTTATTGGGTACCAAATATCTTTACTAATAATTATAAATATCGGTTCACTTTTTCTGGTAGCCCCCCTACCACGGTACCACAAATTTTCAGTATTTTGGGGATTGTGATCGTATTTTTTGACCGAATTGGATTGCAAATCCATTTTTTTGGCAGCCCCCATATAAGGGTACCCCCAATTTTCGTTATTTTGGATCTTTACTAAAAATTATAAAAATCGGTCCACTTTTTTTGGTAGCCCCCATACAACGGTACGCCCGAATTTTCAGTATTTTGGGAATTGTGATCGCATTTTTCGACCAAATTGGCTGTAATTTGGTACTTTGAGTTCTTATAGGGTTGCAAAACCCTTCCACTAAAAATTATAAATATATGTCACTTTTTTTCATATAAGGGGAAAGAGAGAAAAACTCTCATCACCAATCCCAATCACCAACAGTCTAAAACCCCGCTAATATTGCCAAAGACACCATGTATCTAAAATGCAAGCGTTTCGAGAAGTTGTAATCAAAATATTTTCGAATCACTTGAATTGGTGGAATATCGACCCAACCCCCTCTTGTAGGTTATCTCCCGAAGTAATTTGTCAAAATTCATTTTTTAGGTTACCTCCCGACGTAAACTTTAAAAACGACGTTACACGGGGCTTCTCTTTTTTTAATCCCTTCCACAAGCCTTTAAAATGTCCTGATAATTATAAAAAATTAAACTTGCTGCCCAATGTTACTTATCAATATACTTATCATAGCATCCCACACACCAAAAGTTATATTCAGAACGGAAAAAAATAAAATTCTACAAGAAATTTGACTATAATAGCTCAGCAATCAAAAGTGAATCAGTAGTTTACATGGCGCAATTGTTGCCACATAATCCAACGCTGCATCGCTTTAAAAATAGAAACAAATTATATAACATATTTTTTTACAAAAAAACTAATACAGTTTATTAACAAAATAAAATATATTTTTATATCTTTTATACATACATTTATGTTTAATATTTATTATATATACATATGTTTCATGTTTTGTGTCTTATACAAATGTGAATATATTAAAATATATAATGATTATGTTTTTATTTTTTGTTTTAATTAAACTAAATTTATAATTTTTGTAATATGTATAAATTTAAAATTATATAATTTTGTTGTGTTATTTTTTTTAAACACCCAATCTTAGACTTAATCTTAAATGATAAATATGAAAACAAAATATATATATATATATATATATAAAAAAAGAAAATTACTACAGACAAGAGTTTTCCAAAAACAAATATTGAAAAATCTCTCTACGAACGAAGTTATTGAAAATTGATATAAATAACAAACTATATTTGTTATTGAGACTACATGGTAACGAAATCTATAGAAAAGAACATGTTTACAAGATTCATGTGTTGACTTTTTTTATTGGTTGTCTTGTTTTATTTGAAACCTTTTGGAAATGCTCCTACTTCTTCCGTCTTTAACATTGTTGTAAAGCAAATTAAAAATTATGATATGGTATTAAAACGGGTGGAGCTGCTGTCTGTGTTGTTGTTTGTTGGTGCTGTTGTTGTTGTTGCTGCTGGGCCTGATGCTGATGTGCTTGTTGTTGATGATGTTGTGTTTGGGGTTGTCGTAGAAATTGTAATTGATTTGCATTTATGGTAATCTATAAGAATAGATAAATAAATTCATTACTATTTTATGTTTCCAAAAAAAATACCCAATATTTTCAAATTCCACTTACCGGCATATTTGCAATTTCTCCTGTGGGCGTTACCATCACTTGCTGCAACAGCTGTACCTGTTGTTGATGCGGATGCTGTTGCTGGGGATGCTGGGTGGGTTGTTGATGTTGTGGTACAAAATTTTGGAATATGGCTGCCTGTTGTTGTTGATGATGCGGCACTCCACCACCAGCTGCCGGATTTGTATTTGCTGCTGTCAATATCAATTGTTGAGGTTGTTGAGCTGCTGCTACCACATTTAAGCTTGTCGGTTGTAAATTGGGAATTTGTTGCTGTTGTTGTAACTGTAACTGATGCACCAACTGCGGCTGTTGCCCAGGAAGTGTTATGAAATATTGTAAAGGTGTTTGCGCTGCAGGTTGGGGCTGATGGATAATTTGTAACTGTTGCGTTGGATGCGTTGTTGTTGTAGCTAAAACTTGGGCGGGTTGTTGTTGATTATTAGTGACTGTTGCAGTGCCAGCAACTGCAGTTGCTGTGGGAATCACTGCATTGGCGGTTAAAACGTCTGCACCACCGGTGTTAATAGTTGCCGGAACTGCAGCTGCAACATTTAGAATGTCCGACGTCGTCGCCGTCGTTTCCCCATGTGATGCCGCCGATTGTGCTGATGAGGAGGAGGGTTTATTCTGATGACCACCAGAATTACTTTCACTGTTACTGTGATGTTTCCGATGATGATTAGATGGCTTAATATCCTCCCTGGGCACAATGTCTATTAGAAAATCAAATTGGTCATAATTTGCAATGGCTTGAGCAATATCCGATCTTTGTAGTGTGCGCCGTTTACTTTCATCTGTGTGTATCCAGGCGCGCATTGTTAGCTCTTGTATGAAAAATTCACAGGCCTTGGCAAAGAGCAACGGCGCCTCCGCCGCAATCATACGAGCATTTTCATCCAATTTCATGATTTTCTTAATGCGGGCCAAGGGTAACGCCTGGTGTTTGGCATCGATGGTGGTGTTTTGGACCTCTTGCATGATCGAGGGCCAAAAGGTTTCAATGGTGGGCGGAGGTTTTCGTGGTTGTTGATTTTTGGCTGCTTTTGAGGATTTTTCTTTGGGTATTGTACCAGTGGTGTTCTTGGTGGTTGTGGTATTTGAGGCGCCAGTTGCTGGATTTGTTTCGGAGGTAGATTGATTGCCCAACATGACGGATCCTGCTGCTGTTGTTATGTTCTGATTTGTATTTATTGTAGCTGCTGCTATATTTTCAATGGTACTTTTTCGATTATTGTGATTTGGGTTGAACATGGTATGCAGCACATATCACAGTCCGCTCAATATACTGAAGATACTATCTGGCCTCAAGGATTTTGCATTAAGGAAATATATTTTTTGGAATAGAATTTGTTTTTTACTGTTTTGGGCAACAATAGTTATTCGTTTTCAAACAATATTTCTGCACAATTTTGCACACATTTCCATTTCTTTTCAATAATTTATTACTTGTGACAGCCAGCCAAGCGAGCGCAATGTCTACCCTCTTCTTGTTTTTTTCTCCGCAGTTTATAATACTGTATTTCTCATTATTTTTTACACTGAATTGTTTGCCATAACAGTTAAATGAATTGTATTTATCACAAATATAATAATTTTTAAAGATATTCGCAGATTTATTTAATTTTTTTCCTTTATTGCAATTGATTATAAACATGTACAGCTTGTTCTTGATACGATTGAAGTGTCAAATGGGCACAGAGTTGCCACAGGGTATGTTTGTATCACTGAACATACCCTATGGCATTATACAGCTCTGTATCTAAAATGTGCGCGCGTTGCCAACTGCTTTTGCTTCTATAATATGATTAAACCGTTGTTTTTGTTTCATGTTTTCTTTTGCAGAGCCATAATGGAACGTTCCATTAGATCGGTGGTTAATAAAGGCGAATGTTTAATGCCAGAATTACCCATTGATAATCCAGAAATAATGAAATTTTATAAAAAGGTTGACAAATTGGATTGCGGCAAAGCCACAGATGACTGGGTAATGTGTGAGGTAGGTGATAAGGTTATATTTTAATTTTAATTGGAACTATATTACAGTTGTTCTTTTTCTCGTTTAGAAATCTATTTGTTTTGTAAAACCGGAAATTTTGGCACTGCACGGTGAAGTAAGTTGTTTTTATACGGATATAATACGTAAAAATGATTTCAAATCACGCTATGGTAAATCATTGCGTACAAGTGAACCGTATGTATTGCAAGAATCGGATTTTGTTAAGGTGTTTTGCACGGCCAATGATGGTGCCAGGTAAGGGGGTTTGCTGATATTTCAATATGATTATATTTATTAAATTTTGTTTGTATTGCAGTTGGTTTGGCATGGCGTATGGTATACGTGATGGTGTTGAAAAATCAATTGTCCATAAACCAATACCACCTCCGCTGGATGCAAATCCAATGAATGTTTTAGATTCTCTCAACGATTTGCCGCGATATTTCAATGTATTAATGTTTGGTTTTGATTCTTTGAGTCGTAACGCTTTCATACGCAAATTACCCAAAACTTATGAATATTTGACAAAGAAATTGGGTGCTGTAGTCTTGACAAGTTATAATATTGTTGGCGATGGTACACCACAAGCTTTGGTGCCCATTTTAACGGGTTATAATGAACTTGAATTACCGGAAACACGCAAACGTATGTCAGATGCTTTAAGTGTTGATCGCGCCTATCCCTTGATATGGAAGGATTATGAAGAACATGGTTATATAACATCATTCAATGAAGATCTACCGAATGTTGGTACATTCACATATCGCATGAAGGGTTTCGAAACTCAGCCGGTACATCATTATTTGCGTACATATTACTTGGAGGTGGATAACATATTAAGTTCATCAAGTCCACATTGTGCCGGACATACACCGGGACATATGGTTATGTTGGACTATACGAAAAATGTAAGTAATTTGGGATGTCGTAGAGTGTGGGGTCTTTTAAAGGGCAAATGTTGTTATGGATTGTGAGAGAAGGTAACAATTTGTCATTCAATTGATTATATTTAAAAACATTATTATATATATTTTTTCAATTTATTTTTTCAGTTCATGGCCAAGTACAGTGATACCCCAAGATTTGTGTTCAGTTTTCATGGTGATTTGTCACATGACTCCATTAATTTAATTGAGGTTGCCGATGATGATGTGGTGAACTGGTTTGAAGATCTGCAACATAAGAAATTGCTGGACAATACAATTCTTATATTTATGGCTGATCATGGAAATAGGTAGGTATTTAAACGATGAAACATATTAGTTTAAATGAATGGAACTGATTTTGTGATACCAGTTTTATTGACGTCATGAATTGCTTTAAATTCTTTAATAATCTATTTTAGATTTTCCGATGTTCGTTCTACACTTCAAGGCAAACAAGAAGAACGTTTGCCATTCTTTAGTTTTACATTTCCCGAATCGTTTAAGAAACGTTTTCCCCAAGAATATGGCAACTTTGTAGAGAATAGTGGACGCCTGACAACACCCTACGACATTCATGCCACACTCAAACATATTTTAGGTAAGTGGAACAAATTAACTTTCAAAGAAAACCCTAAAAAAATAAATTTTAATATTCCACAGAACTTCAAAAGGTAAACAAAAACGACAACAACAATGACGATGATGAACTTTACAATAACGAAGATAATCATCCGAAAACCATGGCCAATAAACCAATTATACAAGTATCCGATTTAGCTTTAAATCGTGCCATATCCTTATTTGATCCCATACCAAAAAATCGTAGTTGTGCTGATGCCTATGTCGAACCACATTGGTGCGCCTGCCTGAATTGGCAACAACTAAATATTACCAATGAAATGGGACCATTATTAAAGGCCGCGAATAGTATAATAAATACTATCAACAATGCCACCGAAACATTTCGTAACTATTGTGAAGTGTTGCAATTGAAACAAATTAATTGGGCAATGCGTCTGATGCCACATCGTGCCCTATTGGCATTTAAACATAATGCCGATGTGGATGGTTATATGGCAGAAATGGGTGATAATACTCGAACGCCCGAAGAAATATATCAATTACAAATTATGGTATCGCCGGGAGATTCATTGTTCGAAGCTAGCGTTTATCATAATTTGGAAACATTTACAATGCGTACGAAACTAACGGAGATTTCAAGAATAAATAAATATGGTGCGCAAGCAAATTGTATATATGAACGTAATCCGGAATTACGTAAATATTGCTATTGTAAAAATTAAACTGCCAGCCAGATTTGGACAGTATAAACAAAACGACACAAAGAGATACCTCTTTCTATGATATTTTAGAATATAAACCAAAGATTTTTTGTATACCTTATAAACAGGACTCACGCTCTCGCATATATATTATTTGTATGTTTGTAGATGTAACTGCCATTACAACGATTTTGTTTTGTATTATTTTTCAATTTCAAAATATTCATGTTAATTTATCTAGTTTATTTTTGTGTGCAGAAATCATGACAAATAGGTTTTTTAAGGTTTACAAAAAAAAAACTCCCGAGATATCACAAGAAAATCGAAGCAAAATCGTACGTATTATACAAACAAACTTCAAAGTTGGGCAAATTTTAAGTTTCAATAATATTTATTTGTGAAATAAGTTATGTTCTAGTGTATAATTAAAAAATTTTGAATATTTAAAATTTTTGCTCTTTTTAAGAATTTTTTCATAATCAGGTTAAAAAAAAAAACGAAAAAATACCCCCCTAGTTTTTTTAGAATCACTTTCGGAGTCTTACTTGTATCATAAAAGAAATGTTCTTATACCGAAACTAGTATTGTAACCTAACCACAATTTTTAAATTCAAATTCCCCCTTTTCTTGAAATCTTTCTTAACACGAAAACCCTTTTCTTCTATAAAATTCTTGATATATCTAAATTTATCTTTTCAACTCATACCTCACAGTGAAAATTGTTCACCATAACCTCAATTTTGAAAATTTAAATTTTCATTATAAAACAAAATGAATGATTTTTTACATTATTATTTTGTTTAACACGAAATGATATTCAGATTCCAAAAGAAATAATTTTTTTAAATACATGAAAGTATTTATTCAATCCTTAGTTTTTAAAATTCTCAATATATATATATATTTTTTTGAGAAATCCTTTCTGAATGTTTTTCATTTTTTTTTTCTCCATAACCTCAATTATGGAAATTTAAAATTTTCATTATAAAACAAAAAAAAAAAAAAATTATTTTTACCATAATTTTGAACACAAAATGATATTCAGATTCCAAAGGAAATGATTTAATACATGACAGTATTTATTCTATCCTTAATTTTTAAAATTTTAATTTTTTTTGAGAATAAGTTTAGAATTCCTTTCTGAATGTTTTTCGTACACATTAATTTTAGAAAATAACATTTTTAACATAAATAATTTATAGTTTAGATTCGTTTTTTGTAATGATAGAGTCGCCGATTTTTTTTAATACGATTTTTTATAAATATATGAAAGTATTTTTTCCATAAAAAAGGTATTCAAAATTTTATATGAAAAGTTGAGACAAAGGTTATAATTTTCCGATATTAGTGTAGGAAAATAATATCGAAAAATTATAACCTTTGTCTCAACTTTTCATATAAAATTTTGAATACTTTTTTTATGGAAAAAATACTTTCATATATTTATAAAAAATCGTATTTAAAAAAAACCGCCACTCTATCATAACAAAAATCGAATCAAAATTATAAATTATTTATTCTGTATTTATAAAATTTAAGTTTTTTTAGTTCCAAGCCATTTAATTGTAAAATATTTTCACCAAAACCTCAAATTTTGAAATGAAACTTTAAGCGATTTGTTTTATTATTAAACAAAATTATTTTTTAATATATATAATTCATATCATTTTATTATGAAAAATTGTGCTGATCACAAACGAAATGATATAAATTATAAAGCAAGATATTATTCAATTTAACCTCAATTTTGTAATTTTAGTTTTTAAGGATTTTTTTTAATTATATTTGTTTTTGAAATTAATACACAGAATTAATTTTTAATTTTTTTATAAATATTCCTTATCCTATTTAATGTTTTTTTTTTTTAATTCAGTATTTCTATACCCTCAGCCTCATCGAAATATTGGTTATAGATCGCATCTTTCTTTGGACCAAATGTCCGTCAAAAATTTCGAAATTTTGCTGAAAATTAATTTTTATTTTAACAAAACTTTTCACAACCTAATATTTTTACCAAGTCTTTATATTTGTTGGAAGTATTCTTTAAAAAATCTCCCCCCTATCTCGGTACTCAAAAACATGTTTTCCACGCTCTATTGGTATTTGAAAAATATTCTTTAAAAATTTACGCTCTATTAGCAACTGAAAAAATATATAAACATGGATATATTTCTAAAAAAATCCACCCGGTATTGGTACATAAAAATGTCTTTAAAGCACCCTGGTACTTTTAGTAACAATTTAAAACACTCGAAGGATGTAACCGATTTCATCAAAATTTTGGACATCGTAAATTCAAACTTAAATCAAATCGAAAATTGGTCCACTCCTTCTGGTACCTCCTAAACAAAAAGGTCAAAATTTTGCTGAAAATTGATTTTTAATTAACGAAACTTTTCAGACCCTAATATTTTTACAAATTCTGTATATTGTTAGAGGTATTCTTTATAAAAATATATATTCCTTAAAAATTTAACCCGATATTGGTACATAAAAATTTCCATTAAGAAATCCACCCGTGGTACTTTTGTTAAAATTTTAAAAAAAAATTAACAAACTCAGATTTGTTTCTTGCAATTTATTGAAACACACAAAAACTACATTACTTCCCCCATCCAATAGTGAAAGTTTCATCCAAATATCTCCATTCATCGCCAAGTTATGACCATTTCAAATTGGCCCTGTGTCAAAATATAACTGCTACACGATTCTGTTTGCCTGGTACGGCAAATGGGAAAACTGAAGAAATTGCAATTCCACAAAAACAGAAAAATGCTCGTTGTGTTGCCAATTTATTTTCTGCATTGTGTAACGCCTAAAAGTATGCTCACAATTTCGCAAACTAATTTGGAAAAACAAATTAAACAATCTGGCAACACACCCAGCATTTTTCGGTTTTGTGGAATTGCAATTTCATCAGTTTTGCCATTTGGCGCACCAGGCAAACAGAATCGTGTAGCAGCTATATTTTGTCACAGGGTCAATTTGAAATGGCCATAACTCGGCGATGATTGAAGATATTTGAATGAAACTTTCACTATTGGATAGGGGGAGTGATGTAGTTTTAATGTGTGTGAATGAAATACACGAATAAAATATATTAAGTTCGATTTTATTATTTAACTAAAAATACTGATTTTTATAGCAGAGTTTTAAAGAATTGTTTTCAAATACTAATAGAGGAATATTGTAAGATCGATTTTTTATAGAATACTTTTTCAAGGCTTGAATTAATTTTGTAATATCATGCGAACGAATTAAACGAGTTGAATCAAATCTTGAGGAATGGGGTCTATAGGGCAACTTTTTCACAGATAGTCAACTTTTTGATAAAAACCTATACTTTTTATGCAATAAATAATAAAAATAAAACCTCCGTATAATTTCATGGAGGGTATATATATTTATCGGCAACACCGACTGTTTCCTTTTTCTATTTTTTTTTTCTAATATTGCACAAAATATCCGCAAACGACATGTGAATTTAAGCTAAGTCATCATATAAAGATTTTCAAAAATTTATTTATTATATCTATAATTATTATTTAAACACACATAAAATATATCGAATATATATGTAATAAAACAAAACGAAAAAAAGAAATGCGTAATAAATTTGAATATTTTTTGTATTGGACAAATAAATGAAACAACTAAAGTTGTGTTTGTTTTTCTGGTTTTTTTCTTTATTTTTTGTGTGGTGTAAAAAATGCGTTTTATTTCTTGTTGTTTTTGTCTTAACAATGCAGTTAGGTTTTTCAATCATTAAAAAATATATTGTAGGTGGAGAAGAAGAAGAAGACGAAAGAAAGAAAACTAATTTCTTTATAACGAAGCTTCTGTTTCCTAAAAATAAAAACCACAATCTATTGGTGTTGTTCTTGTTATTGTTGTATAACATAGAAGAGGAAGAAGCAACATTGAAGAAGGACTGAATGCAAAATAATAGAATTGTTGCTTTTGATGGTGTTGTTTTGCAATTTTTAATGTATTTTTGTCCTCCAGTCGAAGCCTTAACAACTGAAGAATATGTTTTCTGTTGCTGCTGCTGATCTTGACACACGAAAATAATTAAATAATTATTTATCATATTGTTATTAAATGTTGTTGATGGATGTTCTTGTTGTTGCTGAATTAAATATGTGGAAAATTATTTGGATACTGGAGCATTTCTATCAATAACAGGTTGTATAGTTTTGCCGCCAAAGATTTGACCCCAGCCAATTAAACTGCAAAAAAAAATAAAGAAAAAAAATTAATAAAAAACCGACATATTCAAAATCGATCAAAATGCAAGGACAATATCTACTAAAAGGCTAAGAAAAGAATGAAAAAAAAATTGTCAACCGAATCTCAGTATTGAAAAATACAAAATTAAAAACTATTTTCCCAATCACAAGCATAATTCTGAAGCTATGAATATAACAAATCAAAATATAAAGGTCGGATAGTAAGCACAGCTGAGTAAAATATGGAGGAAAATATATTACATTTATACAACCTAACCTCAATTAAAATAAAAAATGGGAGCCTCTAATGTTAGGAATAACATTTTATGATCCTCTAAATGTTTTCTATACATCGGCGTCCTTGTAGAGATCTTTTAAATGTTCAAGACTTGCTTAAGACCGTCTAAAGGTAGCCTACTATATACAACCTTCTACATGTCAGAAAAATTGTTATTAAGAGAACGTTTTCTAGAGGTCTAGGTCTAGTCTCTTTCATGTAGAAGCTAGTTCTTGCTCTTTTACAAAATACAAATTAAAATAATTTCTGATTTTAATTGGGCCTTACTGCTGTCTGTGTATAAAATACATACTAAGAAGGGTCCTATATAAAATGTAACTACAATTGGTATTCTTATCATATCTGAATACAAGATCTTCTACAAATACAAAACTTTTGTATTTACATCAACTGCGGTAATAATTTGTTTCAACAATTATACGGAATTAATAATCTCTTCCAAAACTTACCGCCAATGTTTCTCGACACGACGACTGAGAGCAATCTTTTCGCCCTTTTCCGTGCACACCGGTGTGGTGAGAACAATTTTCGCCAAATCACCCTTTGTTGCCGAAATACGACCACCAGTACTCAATGAACCAATATTGACCAATAGAATTTCACCTTTGACCAATTTCTCGACACGAGCACCCTTCTTATCACCATCGGTACGTACACCCAGCAGACGACGCAATAAATAATATGAAATTTCCAGCTCAATAAAGATATCGGGCAATTGTCCAACGGCACCCAAAACTTGACCAACCAAACGATCTGCACGGCAGAGGGTTGGATCAATTTTCGTACCGACACCAATCAGACCACCGGGTACAGCATATTGCAGTTCATTTTGTTCGGCATACAAGGAGACAATGCGTGAGAAAATCGGACGGCAGGTGATGTTACCTTCGCTGTCTTTGGTCAGAACACCGGGGCGAACTTCGATTTCTTGGCCGACGCGTAAGACACCACAGAGAATGGAACCACCGGCAACGCCACCCTTCAAATCGTTAACCTCACAGCCGGGTTTGTTGACATCAAAGGAACGGATAACAATTAGCCTGGGTGGGGCATTAAAGTCACGCTGTGGCACAGGAATCTTGTTGACAATGTACTCGCACAATACCTGCAATAAAAAAGCAGAGCGAATTAAAAAAATGTATTAAAAATTGAAATTCGTATTTTTCACTCACATCAATGTTGTATTTCAATTGAGCCGATATGGGTATAATTGGTGCACCTTCGGCCACTGTACCCTGTACGAATTTTGTTATATCTTCGTATTGTTCCTTGGCTTGTGATTCTTTAACCAAATCGATTTTATTTTGCAAAATCAAAATCTGTTTCAATTTCATAATTTCAATGGCGGCCAAATGTTCGGAAGTCTGTGGCTGGGGACACGATTCATTGCCGGCAATCAGAAGCAGAGCAGCGTCCATAACAGCGGCACCGTTCAACATAGTAGCCATAAGGATGTCGTGACCGGGGCAATCGACAAAACTGACATGACGCACCAATCTAAAGCGGCCAGGGCACGAGGGACGGGCACAGGGGAAATTGTCATCTTTGCTAGAGCTGTCCGAAACAAAGCTTGCTGGTCTGGGACATTTGGGATTGTCGCATTTGTAAATTTTGGCATTGGCATAACCTGTTGGCAAGTATCAGCGATCGAGTTGAAGAAATAAGAAATAGAAATAAACAAAGCATGAAAAGTACCATCACCACCCAAAAAGACCAAACACCAAACATTTACAATATTGTCTTCTTTCTTTCTTGGTTTCTCTAGTCATTTATTTGCTTCAATTTTGATTTTAATTTTAATAGAAATTCTTCTTCATTAGTATAAATCATTTAATGGTCGGTAAAAAATAGAGATACTTATTGAGATTATCGACTTTGCAGATAAGCTAACGATGAGTTAAACGTTTTCTCAATTAAAAAATGTTTTCTCAATACATATGTATATTTATAAAAGGTACAACAATTCAAATTTAATAAAAAATAAAAATTTGTCGTATGGACTTCTTTGCCCCAGGTGGGGGCTAACAGAATTGCAATGTAAAAAAATGTGTTCATATAAACATAAACAATTTTATCAAAAATAATTACAACGAATAATAATAATTGTCAATATTTATTTGTTTACGTCGAATGTAATGTATCGTGGGATGTTTCGTTTTCTTTTCTTTTTAAAAGTATTTTATGAGTATAACGATTGAAATAAGTATTCAAATAGGTTGTGTATACAACTACAATGGAGTGTTGTGGTTCCATAAAAAATAAATGCAATGTCAATATAAAATTTGTAAAAAAAAAATAAAAAATAAAAGTGTGGTGATGTTAAAACAAAACTTTGCGGCAATTGTCGGCTCCACAGCGGCAACTAACTTTTTCAGCACTTGAAAGATTTTCATATTCGCCTTCGTCGCCGCGTATATAATCAAAGGTAAGTTCTTCACCGGCCTTTATGGGTCTCAAGGTAAAGAATGCCAATCGCGGCATATTTATATCGAGGTTGTCAACCCAAAAGGGGAAGACAGCCAAATTGGGATCACAGGAGTGATTAAAGAAATGGCAGACATTGCCATATAAAGCTGCATCAATGGTGTACATGCTCTCTGCATTTGTATTGTAGTCCAAATCGAAGAGATATGTACGTCCGATTGCATCATATTGGGTGCCACGTTCATCCGCCTCTTCCGAGGTAATGATCTCGCCCACATATTCTCCCACAAATTCACCTTTGCGCAGTGGCGCTTCAGCACGAACACCCCAACCACGACCATTTGATGTCTTGAAAAGACACAGGGAATTGTGGCGTCCCCGTTGAATGACACGATTGGGACAGTCTGGCGAGCAGGCACATGACTCATTACATTCATAGATGGCCTCACCAGGGTAGATGCGTAAACGGCCATTCTTATCATAGGCAAAGTAACTATCGGCCAAACGTGCACAGCACTTTGTTGAAGGGGCACACACCTCCTCGCATTTGCAGCCAATTTTCGGGCTGGCTCTCACCTCTACACCCTTGCCACAAAAACTTGTATTGATATATTGGAAATTTGGATCGAGAATTTCTAAATCGACATTATTTTCCACACGTATGGGTGCTTCTGATTCAATCAGATTCATGCGTTCCTCCCATTCCTGCAAGGAGGCCAATTGTTGTTTACGTTTGAGAGAAAATTCTTCCATTAGCATTGATTTAATGAGACGTTCGCGTATGCGTTCAGGTTCTTTTTGACAGCGGGAACGGGCCTTGATAAATTGTGCCAATAAAATTAAATCAACTTTCACCACCATGGGATCGAAGGCATCCAATTCTTGCATATTCAATTCTTCCGGTTTCAACGTCAGTTGTTCCGATTCGATTTTCTGTAGTAAATTTTCACGTATACCGGGTATAACGTCTTGGTGTAATTGCATTTGGCCTTCAATGAAACCATCCAAGTGGACACATTCGCTGACATTGTCTAGACGTTCCCAAGTATTTTGTGATCTTGGATAGTTAAGCCATTTAACATAGAATACTGGTTGGGCATTTATACATTCAATACTTTCGATGTTTTCCACCACATATTCTTGTTTTTGTTTTTTGGGGCCTCGTGGTGTGTCGTTGTGGCAAGAATTGCGACGACGTTTATTATTGTGCAGGGTATTTTGTAAAGCCTCCTCTACTAGATTGGATTTGGTTAGAAGTACCACTAGCGATTTGGGTGGTGATTTCATGTACACCGAATCGGCACTACAGACTGAGGCGTTGTCATTGAGACTCTCATAACCACTACTGGGACTAACCGAAGGACCACGTTCCGAACGTGTTAATAAACTATCCAACGATGATGAACGTGTCATTGTGGTTTGTTGGTGTGATTGATGATGTTGTTGTTGCTGCTGCTGATGCTGTTCAAATTGTTTAATTCTGCGTTGTTGCATTTGCTGTTGCCTTTGCTTGCGGCGTTGCCGGTATTTTGCATCTTGTTGTCGTTCAAATTCGCGTAATAATTTTGGAGATGCTAGCAGTGCTTGTATACGTTGTTGACTTATGCGTTCTGCAAAATTTCCCATACAACATTCGACCGATCAAGAAGTTGACGCACAAACACACAGACAGAGTGTTGTAAAGAATACCGGAAACAAAATAAAAAATAAACATAAAAACGAATCAAAAAAATGGTGGCGGTATTTGATTTTTTTTCTTTTCATCAAGGAAAATCATTACTTGTTTTCATTAAAATTGCTGGTATTTTTCATTTAAGAGTAGTAATAGGGATAGTTTAATATTACAAGAAATCAATTTTATACCCTATCAAATATTTTTGTTGTTGTTGACTGATTGATTGTTTGATTTGATCACACTCCAGCAATTTATTCGGAAAATTTTACAGAACGCATATCTCACTTTTCTATAAATATTATGTTTATTGTTTTGTTTAATTTGTCTTAGTTGATTTATCTGCTTAGCCAAAAAATTGAAATTTAAATTAAAAAAGAAAAATAAAAAATGGATCTTCTTATGTACATAAGAGATAAATGATATTATTAACATCGTATATGTTGTTAGGTTAAAAATATATGATAGGGATAATGTTGATTTAGTTTTTTTTTTCGTAATGTATAAATAAATGACTAGAGAGATTCAATATTGCAACAAATGACAGTGTAAAAAAATCAACAAAGTAATAGCGATCGAATGTCGAATGTCTAATGGGGGAAATTTAAAATCAGTTTAAAAGTATCGGAAAAAAAATTCCGAAATCCCGCAAAATCTGAAATTTGTTTCTATAAAGGGAAAACATACTTGCTATGTTCTCGTACTGCAAGAATCGAAAACTTTTTACCACAATAACGAATTTTCCTTTATGATAACGAAGAAAATAGTAAAATCTAGTAGATACTTGCAGTACGGGAACAGACCAATTATCTTTCTACATTTATGGTCTGTTCCCGTACTGCAAGAATCTACTCGATTTTACTATTTTCTTCGATATCATAAAGGAAAAAAGTGTTATCGGAGTAAAAAATAGTAGATTCTTGTAGTACAGGAACATACCATTAGTAAATTTAAACCGATTATTCCAAAAAATAATTTTCAGAAATAATACGCATTTGCAGAATACAACATCTACAAATATTTTTCTACTTTCCAAAACATTTCATACATAAAACACAAACTATCGATCGATCGCCAAAACTTTGTGTATGTCCCAAATGTAAATGGTTTTGCAAAAACAAACATATGTATAAACAACAACCAAAACACCCAAATGGCTTACCCAATTTAATAGTAATATTTCTCTCCAATTCGTTTTTGAAACGAACAGTCTGGACACCAGAAATGGCTTTGACCACTGTTGATTTACCGTGAGCTACATGACCAATGGTACCAATATTGATAGTAGCTTGACGTGAAATGACTTCAGGCGATAATGGTGTCAAATTGGAGACATCCTGAAAAAAAAAAAAACGAAAGAAAAACAACATTAGCAATATTTCAAACAACACAACCCAAATTCACAAATTCAACCAAAATAGCAATCAACCAGGCGGCAGGCAGCGGCTCAGCATATTGTGCGAGAGAGAAGAGAAAGAAATTAATAACTGTCGTGGCATTTTTTGAGGTTAGATTTTACAGGATGAGCAATTGCATCAGAAATACAAATTTAAACCTTATTGTATTAATAAATTGGGGGAAAATCCAACAAAATTCCCGCAATTTTTCATTTCGGATACACAATTAACCGCTTCAATGTATAATTGCTGGAATTTAAGCCATAGAAACGCCACGTGCAGAAATTTTTTCGCGTCACTTCGGGCCATGCAGAAATGAAAACAGCAATGTAGCAATGTAGACGCCACGGCTCGAGATGTTTCCAATTACAATTGCATTAAATAATTATTCACAAGTTCACAATAACAAACATAGTTGGAAATTTTACGTTCCTAAAGGCATTTTATAGGAATTTTTTGGTATTTTTCACATTTTTTTCATCTGACGCGCGCTGTTGACTGTTGCCCGCTGCCTTTGGCTTTGCATAGGTTTTTCACATTTTTCCTTCAACAATTACCAAATTTTTTAGATCTTGCTGTTTTAAAGTTGCATTTCCAGCAATCTGTGTTTCCGCTGTGGACATTTTTCTGCTTCTATTTAACACTTATCCAAATTAAAATAAAAAAACTTTATTCCACAACTAGAGTTTACGCACGCCTTAATGCCCGCAAGTGCAAGTGTCAGATAGCGATAAGTAAATCGACTTTCGACTAATCGATTAATCGAATTTTTGTATTGAAAAGTCAAAGTCTATGATCCAATAATAAGGTCGTCCGATAAGGCTTTCACCCCAGCTGTCAAAATGCTTTCTAAATTGTGTGAAAACGTAAACAAAATATTTGACAGTATGGGGAATTTTAATCCAAAATTGTTGATAATGATTACTTCTGACCAGAGCTCCGATTTGCTCGATTTTACTCGCGAGTGAAAAATACTCCCGAGTGGGAGTAAGTAAAGAGTACGAGTTTTTTAGGGAGTATACTCTCCACTCTTTTATTTTGTTTGGGAGTGCTCGCGAGTACTCCTTGATGAAGAAAAAGAGTGAGAGTCAAAATGTTCGAAATAGAGTATGAGTTCACTCTAAGAGTGAAATCGAGTGGACAAATAAATTTGGTTGTTTGGTTATTTGTGTGTGTGTAGTAGCAAGATCTATTAATAAGGTCACCAAGATAGCAATCGAAATCGGAAAACAGCTGTTTTTTCTCAAGTCTAATGTCAAAAATTTCGACTTTGTTTACGTTTTCATAATGTAAGTCCGCAGTGGCAAAAGTTGGTTTTGGCGCGTTACTACTTGTCAAACTGACGACGTTGGACGGTTGTTTGGTGACAGTGTGTTGTGAAATGCCGTTTGTTCGAGTGGCTCCTTTAATGAATACGTGTGCAGAGTGGCAGTGTGTCAGACAGGTGGTTTATATTTGGTCTGTTCCCGTTCTGCAAGAATCTACTAAATTTTACTATTTTCTTCGTTATCATAAGGGAAAATTTGTTATCGTAGTAAAAAGTAGTAGATTCTTGCAGTACGAGAACAGACCAATTGGCAATTTTATTTTACAAAAAATGTTTTAAGTTAAATTTATAATATTATATCATTTTTTATAAGTTAATTAAATCAAAATAATAAACGTACTTTCATAAATCCCTCATATATATATATATATCAAATCAACTTTAACGACGATTAAATCAGGATTTGTAGTAAAACATGTTCGGTAAATCAAATATAAAAACTTATAATAAAAACCCTATAAATCCCACATATATATATATATATCAAATCAACTTTAACGACGATTAAATCAGGATTTATAGTAAAACATGTTCGGTCTAAATGTGCCCTATATTGTACTGAATTTCGTTAGCTCAGTGGGTTTAAATTGTCAATTCCTTTCAACATATGTCAAATAAATTCTCATAAAGCAGTTTAATCTGGTAGAAAGTTCTAATGTAAATGGCGTTTTACACTCACATGTGAATTTATAGTAGTTGATAGTTAATTTTTTCAGGTACTGGAAAGCAACTTATATGTTTGCAATTTATTTTAATATAAATATTTATCATACACTTACAATTTAATTTAATATTTTCGAATTTTTAATGTTATTTCAAAAATATAACACAGTTTTTTTTTATTAATTTAATTATTAATATTTATCATACAGACTTACACTTTAATTCCATTTTATTCATATAATATATTATATTTGTAGACGTCGCACTTTATTTATAAATAAAATAAAATCATAACCTCAATATTTATTTAAAAAAAAATAATAATTTTATTATTATCGTTTATATTTATTTTATCAAATCACATCTTAATGACAACAGCTTATAGCATAACATGTTTCCATCTTGATTTTTATTGTGTGTGTGTGTATTTTTTGGTGGTTCTTAGGGAATAATATAAATCTGTTGTGTGGACCAAGAAACATGGATATGGAAAACAAAAATTCAACCATTTGTGGCACTAGGGTTTTTTTTGCTTTTTTCTATGTAATTAAAAAATGACTGCCTATATAAATTTGTTCATTTACTAAATTTTAAATAATAATACTTAAATACACTCTTAGAGGCGGGTGAAACAAAAATAACTCTGACGAAATTTACCGCTACAAATGTGTGGTATTACTTTCTTCTTCATAGGCCATATTGGTTACACCATCACCATTAGTGCCATTCGTACGACGATTGGGTAGGAAATCACTTTGTTGTAGCTGTATTATTTTCGCCTCTGTATAGGGTCCAATGGGTATTTGAAGATTTTCCAAATGTTCAACATGCAAGGGGCATGGATAGCGGGTATCATTATTTTGGGTCATTTGTTTTTTCTGTTGTTTTTCCAATTTTTGTTGTTTTTTACACAGCAGATTTGTGGGTGACTTTTTGGAGAAGTGGGCCTCAATTTCCTGAGAAAATAGTAAAAGGTTAGATGAGAATAAAATTTTATTAAAAACTCTTTTTTTGTGCTTACTCCCAATGTCCTTCCCTCCGTTTCGGGTAGTGTAAAATACAATGTTGCACATCCAACTAATGCCACTGCCGAATAGAACCAAAATGTTCCAGGCATTGTAAGCAGCGATAACATTTGCAAAAATAATTTATTTGCCAAGAAACCGAAAATATAACCCAAACCACTAACCAAACCTGAGGCTGTGCTACGCACTGTGGCTGGAAAGACTTCACCAATTAATATCCATGGAATCATACGAATACCTAAATGGGCAAAAAAGGCGGCACCCAATAATAAAATCAAAGGTATCCACACCAGATTATTCATTTCTTGTTTGGGCACTGTCAGCAGGATATCTTCCTTGACTTTTTCCGGAAGACTTTTCCGCGATTCATCAGTGTGTGTAATAGTGGGCGGTGGATTTGTTGTTGTCGTTGTAGTGCTAGATGTTGTTGGTGTTAAAATGGTAGTTGGTTCTTCCACCAGAGTGGTGGTTTCCGTTGTGACCTCTTGAGAATCTTCCAAATCAAAACTGTACTCTGTTGTCGATTCGGTGAAATTAGATTTTCCCAAGTCGTTCAAATCTAAATCATTTTCATCTGTAAATGTTACATTATAAGGTTCCATGGTTGTGGTGGTAGGCAAATCTCGGACCGTTCTTTTGTGTGCCATCATATCCTCCCCGAGATCTGGTATCATTGTGGTCAGTTCTTCCAGCTGTTGCAGTTGGGGAGCCTTTAGCAATAATGCCTTTTCTTCGGTCTCGTATAGCTGTGTTATATTCTCCCGTGTTATAATACTGTCCTTGGGGACAATTGAAGAGGCATTCACCACCACATTGTTAACAGCAAAGCCCGGCACCACCTTAAGATAATGGGCATAGGTTGCAGTGCCAAAGAAACAAATACCCACACCAATTGTGGATACCAAAACCAAAGGCCTTTTACCGGTGAAATGGATGAGAAAGACACACAATACCGTCGCCACCATTTCAGCCATTCCCAGCAATATGGTAGCATGATATTTATTAATGGGAGCCTTCAGAGTGTGGAATATCTGAACAGCGTAGGTTTGTAGCGATGTTTTACCCGAGAAATGGCCAACAAAAAATGTAAATGCCACCAAAAGAAAGGGTGCCAAAAATGACCGTTTACGGAAGACCAAAAGGCGATGGAAAAATCCTGGCTTTTTGCCCTGCATTTGTTCAAGCTCAGCTTGATTTTCCATAGCAGGCTGAGTTATCAACTCATTGTATAAACGATTAAATTCTTCTTCGATTTTATGTTCAGGTACCCAACCTCTTAACCATTGTAAAGATTTAATGGCCTCACGGAAACGTTCTTCACGTATTAACCATGTTGGAGATTCTGGTATAAAACATAGCGCGATAATCGATATCACTGGAAAAGCTGAACTCACAGCTGCTATGGTACGCCAATCCATCAGGGAGCCCATAATGAATTGTATAAAGACACCGGTTATAACACATGTTGAACCCAATGCTGAGAGAATGCCGCGGTATTTTGGTTCTGTAATTTCTGCCACATAGGTTAGGACCTATTAAAGAAAAGTGGAATTTAAATTGGTAATTTTGAAAGGAAAACAAATGAAATTTATTGTACATACTGGAGCTTCCATTAGACCACCGCCCAGACCGCTTAAACACAGTGCTGCATAAAGATGCTCTGTTCTTGTGGAGAAATGAAAAAGAAGCCAAGATGCCAGGATGGGTAAATTGACAAACTGTAAAATAGAAAATATTACATGATTGTTTAAAAATTTTATTTGTGAAAATATGGTCTCACCTGCATAGCTCTTCTTTTGCCAATCGGCTGGGTTAACATTCCCGAAAATAAACAACCCAAAGGGACACATATTAAATTAATGGAACCTAAAATGATATAAATTGAAAATAAATAATATTATATATGAGTCTGTTTATTAAAATATAATCCTGAAGAAAATAAGAAAGAAAAATGCAAACAGTGAACTGAATTGAACATTACATAAAAATAAAAAAAATAACAGCTGACTTTTCTAAAAAAAGTAAAATCTATTTAATCCTCTAAATGCAAACAGCGTTCAATAAAAAAATTTTTACATATGTGCTATTAAAATTTTTGAAAGGAAAATGAAAATTTTTTGCAAGTGTTCTATCTCAAAATTTACTGATTTTCTGTAAATCTAAATCCTCAGCTGTCAAAGGGACCATCTCAATTCATTCTTCCATTGGACTTTTGTATAAAAAAAAAAATTGTACAGTAAAATTTTGTACAAATTATTAAGTAACATACCTAATATTTGAGTTTTAATAAATCGGGGAACCCCATACTCATTTTAGAATCTACAATTTATAATGTTTTTGTAATAATTGTGCAAAGTTTCATAATAAAAGCTTTGTCTTATGCCAAAAACTAGCAAAGGGTTTACCCAAACTTAAGAGAGTAAAATAAAAAACGTTTTAATCTTATAAAATTTTCTATCAGCCTAATTTAGGCGAGTAAAGTAGAAAAAAATTTTAATTTAAAATAGCACATATTTTTAAAACTATTGAAGAGCAATACCTGTTAGAATTTTGGCTAGCAATGAGGCATAAGAAATGTGTATGTATACGTAAACAAATATCAGCTGACTGACTTCATATAAGGTTAATACTAGTCTAAACATCTAGGATTTTGTACAACGATTTAGAAATGGAGTCGATTTAGAAGGCATGTAGTAAACGTGTCTCAAATTACATTTGCATATACGATTTTAAATCGACTCGATTAACGAAGTCCAGAAATACACTCTGAACTGTTTACACATGCTTTTAATCATGACCTAAATGCCAATCAGCTGATGTATGTTAGTATACATACAAAATTATTAATTTGCGCCAAAAAATATTTAGTTGCAAATTGAAAATGACAAGAAAAATTACAACAATGGAGATATGTTTCCTATGCTGTGGTCGTTTGGATTTGGAAAGGTTTTAGAGCGCGTTTAGACTCTAAATCTACTCGATTTCTAATGTCATTTCCATAGCGTATACGTCACGTAAATCCAGTTCACAAATCCAGTGGATTATATTTGACGTTTACGCTATGGAATTGACATTTAAGATCGAGTGGATTTCGTAAGTCTATATGCACTTTTACGTAATCAGGAAAGACATTTAATTTTGACGGTACCAAACATTTATTTTGGGTGGATATTTGTAAATCTTTATCAGCTGTTGTTTGTTTACGTAGATGTCAAGGCATATTAATAAGGTCACCCAGGATGCGAACTGTTTTGTTCTTAAGTTTAATGTTACAAATTTAGACTTTATTTTTACGTTTTCCCAAAATGAAGTTAATTTGCAATAATGGATTTTGACAGCAAACTCAAGAAGTAGCTGATCTACCTGGAAGGTTTGTGGATGTTTATGGTTCGTTTATGCAAAATACCATTACAAGAGAATGAGTGAGTGAGAGGCAGATTTGACAGTTGTGTAACTGAGTATTTGTATGGATTATTTAGTAACATCAGCTGATATTAAATCAGCTGTTTTATGACAAGATGCATTAATTTGGTTATTATACGTTTTTTGAGATTTTCAATAAGAACACATCACACTGCAAATTCAATTAAATAACAACATTTATTTAAATTTCAATTTGGCTTTGAATTGTTCAAGAAATTTTAAATATTTTGTTTGACATGTAGTACGTTTACATTAAATCGTATTTCGTTAACCCAGTGGGTTTAAATTGCCAATTTCATTGTATATATGTTAAATAAATTCTAATAAAGTAGGTTAAAATGCCGCTATACGTTTTCATTGCTGGGTTTTATTGATAGACTTTTAGCAATATATTATCTAATTATTACTTCATCTATGTAGTAGGTTTGACCCAAAAAATCAACACACACTTTTGTACCTAACTGTACTAATAATAGTTTTTCTGTTGTTATTTATAGTCATACTTACTAAACCATGATATTTGTTCCTTATTTAAAACAATATCGCTGGGTTCTCGGCCATCGCCACCTTGTATGGCAGGTATAACAATTGTTGGGAAACCCAAGGTCATTCCATACACTGCAAAAAAAAACAACAACAATGAAATAAAAAATAACGTTAAACCACAAAAAAAAAACAATTAAGAAACATGTTGTAATACTAATGTTTTTACACAAATGAATTAAGTGTTTAAAGAAGAAGAAAAACAAAAACAGTAATGTTAATTAGTTATTTACCAAAAAGTAAAATATTTTTAACACTAACGGCTAAAAATTGTGGCAATGCTCGACGAAAATTGCTAATTTCCTGTGTATCGCCAGCGCTGATTGAAAAGCGACGATTTCCATTTTGCATAAACAATGGCCGATCATTAAGTGAACTGAAAATAAAGAGAAGAAGAAGAAGAGGGTTGGGAAATTACAAAATAGTTTCACAGCATATTGACTTTCTTTCCAAAACAAAACAAAAAACCCCCTACAGTATTTGACAATGGCAATGATGTTTGTGGCGATAATAATGATTATGATGAATTTGTTATAATAATTGCTGGCTTACACAACTAATTGTTTAATTGTTGTTTGGCTTTGGGTAAACAGCATAACATGAAGAGATCACACACCCATTATTTTTGAAAGTAACAAAAAAAAAAAAAAATAAAAAAATAAATAAATAAAACGAAATGACACAGTTAAACATGGTAATAATGGATAGAGAGTTGCCAACTATTATTTCTTTGCATTGTACAATAGTAGATTAGCGCTTTTTATTATCACATTAATAATCATAAATCAAGGCCTATTAATAAGGTCATCCAGAAAGATCATCTGTATATCAGCAAACCCATTATTGTGAAATTTTTGGCATGAAACTGGTGAACTTAATTTAATTTAATAAGGTGATGTATGGCAACAAAAACATTTGTCAAATTTTATCTAGACATTTTTCTCGTGGTTGGCAACATTGCACGTAGAATTAAAGTAGAAACCCATGGCATAACTATACAAGGTAGTCTCATGCAGTCATATGTTTCCAATTTATTCATAAATTTGCCTTTGACAACATTCAGCTTTCAAAATTTAAACGAAAATATCTTCCTTCGAAATGTACGCAAATCTTGTGTCCAGTGTCAAACATTTTAAGTTCCCTGCCTATAAAACCTATAAATACAAATTGCAACAATTGTAGTTAAATCTTAAGAACAATCTGGAGCTTTAGAAAAAAAAAATATATATATTTTTTAATTTGTTGACAATTTGCCAATCGCCATGCGTAACATTTTTTGAAATTTATTTTTCATTTTATTGGAAATTGATATTTGAATTCCACATTAAGAAGGGTTGCCATTATCAATTTCTCAAATGAGATTACCTTGTATAGTTATATAAATAGGTAGTCCATTTAGAGCAGCTGATGTCTCGATTAAAGTACGTAACCATGATGCAATAATAAGGTTATGTATCAAAACAAAAACATTTTTTTTCTTTTTTAATTTCTCTTTGCCTCAACCATCTCTCAAATTTGTCCATATATTTTACATGGTTGGAAACATTGCACATCGAATTCAAATAGAAATTACGAACTTTGACAGTTAATCAAGTCATCAGCTGCGCTAAATGGACTATCATGCCATGGTAGAAACTATAGGTTCGTTCGTTTACTGAATAATTTGTATAAATTATTACAAAATATTGTTCGTTTACCCAAAAGTCCAGTAAAATAGAGAAAATTGAGGTCACTGTCAAATGACAGTTGTGTTACTGAGTATTTGCAAATTGTTATAAGGAAAAACTTAATCAGTAAGTATTTTCTTGTACCATCAGCTGATATGTAATCAGCTGTTTTGATATGATTTGTGATTGTTTTGTGAATTTTGGATGGATGAAGAAAAAGCAAGTATTTATAAACAAAATCATTTTTCCGTTTGTTATCCATTTTTCTAATAAAAATGCTGTTTTTTTTTGTTTGCTCCAATTTGTTTGTTGATTTAATACAATTTTTTTTTTTAATTTTTGCCATTTTCTCTCTTGAGAACGATAAATTCGTATTTTACTCTCTGCAAATTCTTACTGAGTTAATGTTACTGAGAAAATAAACGAACACACTTTATTTTCCATGATTTTAAAGCAGCTGGCATACACCTGATCTCTCTGGATGCACTTACTAATGGTGTTTTTACACGATATGTGTTTTACATATGTGTTGTCACTTATTTCATCCATATGTAATTCCTTATGTGTGTCAAAATTAGCTGCATACACAAAACATTTATTTTTTGTATTCAAATCGGCATATGTATTTTACATAAAAACACTTTTATTTTTTTCTTAAATCAATATGATTTTTTTATTAAACACCTACAAATGAAATAATAATTTGTAATTATTGCCTCTTCATCCTTTTCTTTGACTTGCAATTGAAATATTTTCTTTCAACCATGTGTTTCATTCAAACAGCTGATTTCCTTATGTTTCACATACGAAAATAGAGCGCGTCCTATTCGGAAAAAAATACATATGTAATTGCATATTGTTTTGACACAGTGAAATTTCCGTATGTTTCATATGACGAGTTCGATTTCCATATGTAAATAAAGTGACAGCACATATGTAAAATACATATCGTGTAAAAACACCATAATATGTCAACTAGATCAGGATACATCATGGACATCATAAGTCAACTAGCATACAAATGTACGTTCGTCTTTAATTATATATATATTTAATATATATATATATTTAATATTAATAAAAATTAAAAACAAATATGTATATATTAAAAAAAACACATCCACCATAACCATGTTTTACTGTTTCTCATCAACTTTCGGCTTACAGACATTTGTCAGTGTTATTTATGTCAATATGATATTTACCCATTTTTTAAACCGTTCGATGGTGATTTTTTATTCGCCTCCATAATTAATAATGATGTGTACAAAAAGTAATAGCCGTTGCTGTTACGATTTGTTCGTGGACGATGAGCTGTTTTGCCGTAATTTTGTTTTTGATTTTTTATTTTGTGATGCGGTTAAATACCTTTCGCGTTACTTCCTCCGCGTATGCGTGTGTTATTATTACGTTAGCTTAACAATTAGCTGTCGTCTTTCATGGATATTATTTATTTTATTTCAATATTTTCACAGTCATAGTTAAGTGTCTTTTGAACATTGTTTTTTATTGATTTCTTTGGAATTGGGTTATTTTTGTTTTGACAAGTTTGTAATTGGCTCTGCGTTAAGTGAGAGAAAATCCGTTAAATTTAACTCATATATCTTCTAACTTCATTTGGTCAAATTTTTTATTGACAGGTGAAATTTTTAAAAAAGCTGCTTACAAATCCCAAATTAATTAGGTTAGTTTCTTGAAAATATAACACATACCTATATTTATGTTATATTTTCACGAGTGAGTGATATATGTATATAATATTTTTTAATACGAAAATTAATGTGAAATAATGAAATAGAATCTTCAAGGCTCTTCATTTAATCTTAAAGTACATTTACATATACGATTTTAAATCGAATTGATTAACGAAATCCAGAAATACACCCTGAACTGTTTACACATACCTTTAATCATGATCTAAATGTCGATCAGCTGATATTTGTTGATATACATACCAAATTAATAATTTGCGTCAAAAATGGAAATAAAAATTACAATTATATTTTGGATGAGTTAATATTCACTGGAGTCCTTGAGCTTTAGAGAATGAACGTGTTAAGTTTTCAATAAAAAAAATATCAGCTGACTCCTTTTGATCTGAATAATTTAACTGTGGTGTTTGCTCAGTGAGCAAGAAAGTAAATTTTAGTAAACAAAATAAATATATTGACTATGAAACAGCTAAAATGAAAATTTTTTGAAAATCGGAATATCTGTTAAATAATTTGGAACAAGTCTAGTTTAGGGGCCCCTCCCGGATCGTTTTGAAATTTTTACCACATGTAGTCCTTGGGGCCCACATGTAGTCCTTGATTACAGCAGTATACTTTTTTTTGTGGAAATCGGTATTTTCGGAGATATAGGCCTCCAAAGTTTCATGGGACCCTTGAATTTTCTCGTCATTTTTTTAAAATTCACTAAGGCAATATGTGTATCATTTTAAAGCATATGAAGCCCTGATTACAAAATATATCATATCAAATAAGTCCATACTTCCTGAGATATAGGTCTCCAAAATTCCGCGAGATCCTTCTGAAAAACCATATGGGTATCAATTAAAAGCGTCTGAAACACAAGTTGCAAAAATGTATCTTTATTATCAGAAATGTCCCTACTCTCCGAGATATGGGTGTCCAAAATTCTATGACTTGTTAAGCTTCGGCCGGGGATTTAAACTTTCTCCTATGGACAGATGCCAACACCGGCTACGCGACAGAATCTCCTTTTAATTAGAATAGTGTTAGTGGGTAGCTGGCCTTCGGCCGGGAATTTAAAACTTTCTCCTATGGACAGATGCCAACACCGGCTACGCGACAGAATCTCCTTTTAATTAGAATAGTTTTTGTGGGTAGCCGGCCTTCGGCCGCGAATTTAAGACTTTCTCCTATGGACAGATGGCAACACCGGCTACGCGACATAATTTTCTGTTAATAAACATTGTATACAATTTTACTGGATGTTGTAATTTTACGCCACATTCCAATAAAAGAGAATGGATTGAGCAGATTTGACAGCTGTGTTACTGCGGGTTTGGAAATCCAGTTAGAAAATTTAAGTTATATCAGCTGATATTTATTTAGCTCTTTAACACATGTAAACTTTTAAAAAATCGATAAAATTACTGTATATTGTAGTTATTCAACAAGTCTTTATAGGCAACAGACATTTCGAAGATCAGCTGTTTTTGTTTTTGGAATTCGTTTATTTGCATTTGGGGAAAACGGATTTTGACTTAATCGAAATAATTTGCGTAATCGAGATAATTTCAAATACAACACAGTTTTTTTGAACGAAAATAACGACAAAGCTTTCATTTGTTTACATTAAAATTCAATTATTACTTTTAAAAAAAGTTTATAATGAATATTAAACAGCATGAACATTATACTAAATCATGTAGAATGTAAACGTTCTATTAACCTATTTTAAAACCACACATGTTTATATGCATTAAACGTAAACAAATCTCAGCTGATCAGCGGTATATAATTTTATTACTACAGTCTAAACAGCTGGGATTTGGTATTTCAATTTAAAAATTGAGTCAATTTGGAAAGCATATTCTCGTGTTATTTCCAGTTATACTAGTCCTGATTTAGATTAGGCGAGTTTACTTGCGGCAATTTTTATCATTCTCTTTTAAACTTGCTTCATGCGTCTATACAAGGCAACTCGGTTTCAAAACTATTTTTTTTTTTTGACATTTTGT